TATTTGAGAGAGATTTCACATACTTGGAGAGATTTGGGAGAGATTTGACATTCTTGGAGAGATTTCTCATACAAAGAGATATTTGAGAGAGATTTCACATACTTAGAGAGATTGGGGAGAGATTTGACATTCTTTGAGAGATTTCTCATACAAAGAGATATTTGACATACCTGGAGATATTTGGGAGAGATTTGACATTTTCGGAGAGATTTCTCATACAAAGAGATATTTGAGAGAGATTTCACATACTTCGAGAGATTTGGGAGAGATTTGACATTCTTGGAGAGATTTCTCATACAAAGAGATATTTGAGAGAGATTTCACATACTTGGAGAAATTTGGGAGAGATTTAACATTCTTGGAGAGATTTCTCATACAAAGAGATATTTGAGAGAGATTGCACATACTTGGAGAGATTGGGGAGAGATTTGACATTCTTGGAGAGATTTCTCATACAAAGAGATTTTGAGAGAGATTTCACATACTTGGAGAGATTGGGGATAGATTTGATATTCTTGGAGAGATTTCTCATACAAAGAGATATTTGAGAGAGATTTCACATACTTGGAGAGATTTGGGAGAGATTTGACATTCTTCGAGAGATTTCTCATACAAAGAGATATTTAAGAGAGATAGAGTGACAACGATTGAGAGAGGTTTCATTTGTTACCTTTATGAGTGTCCGGCTTCGCAGTGCAAGGTCCGTAAACCTTGTTAAGCCTTGTTTAAGGGTCTTAGAGAGTCCCGATGAGTATGCAACATTGTTTTATCAGTTTGGCTCGTCACGTACCACAGTTTTAGGTTAAGGAGATCTAGACGTACATACTTTTCGATTTATTATCTCTCATTAGAATAGGGAGTTGTTTAGAATTTACATAACATAAACTCTAGTATGCAAGGGTTTTTGTGGAGTTGACCGGTTTGATTGGTTGACTTTAGTTGAATTTGACTTAACCGGAAATTGACGGTTGTCACATCATCCCCCCGTTAGAGGGAATTTCGTCCCGAATTTTGAATTTAGGTAAGGAGTAGGCATGAATAATCGAGTCAAGAGGTGGAAATACTTGTTAATCGACTGATTCTCGTGCTCCCAAGTGACTCGAGGTTCTTGGTGAGTACTCCAACGACCCTTCACTTAATGGGAAGCGGCGTTGCTTCGTCCGTTTGACCTCTTGATCCATGGTCACTTCGGTACTCCCACGAAGGTGAGTCTCTTGTGGAACTCGATCTCATCGAGGGGGATTACAAGAGTCTCATCGGATAGATACTTCCGCAAGTTTGGGACGTGATGTGTAGAATGTACTTTACCACGCTTGCGGGAGTAGATTGAAGTTGCGAGTTACAGGGATGATTCTGACCAGTATCTCGAAAGGCATAAATGTATGGGTTTTAGCTTTCCACTCCTTCTAAAGCGCATTAAGCCTTCCCAAAGTGAAGCTTCCAATGGAAATTGGTCTCTTATTCTGGAGTCCTAAGGGTTTCTCCCTCTTGCTTCTCTTCCCAGTCAAGGGTTGCTCCCTTCAGGGTAAAAGTCGTAAGGGTTTTTCGAAATTTACGAGAAGTTCCGAAGGAACTAAGGCTGTAGGTCAGCGAGGCCCAGAATTTTGGCGTATCCCTGCTGACGCTTTTGGTGCTGACCGTTTCTCAACGTTTTTTTATCAATTGTAAGGGTCCTTAAGAATTTCCACATTTATGATGATGTGCCTCAGGAATTTGACTTCTCAATTCCAAAGCTCGAATCTAGAGAATTTCGGGTAAGGTTTCTTTGATCATATTGTTTCCACGGTTGGTTGCAGCTGTTCTCCTTGGTTTCCTTCTTACTACGAGGGTAGATAAGCAAGTCCTTTACAATGACAATGACGAACTGATCTTAGTAAGAATGGAATCTCCTATTCATTAAGTTCATGAATACTGCGAGCGGCTGGTCCTATCTGAGGGGTATTACTATGGACTTGCAGTGTTCGTATCGAACTTGGAGGATTGTCCTCGGTCATCCTTCTCCAATACTCGCGACTGGTGATATTCAGATCTCAGGTCTAGCTCCTGAAGGTACCTTGTTCCTTGCAATTGTTTGTTCTATTCATCTATGCGACGCAGATAGTAAAGGTTTCTACTGGAGATATTGTTGGGGCCTCTGACGTAGATGGAACTACGAGCAATTTGCCTTTCTATTTGAAGAATAAGACCGGAGTCTTCCAGGGTGAGAAGCTTGGTTCTATAATTTCTTTGTTGAGTAGTTCGACAGGTTTGACCTGATAGTTCTTGTAGCTTGGTAGGAGGCATGTGGGTTTGGTTTACGCGACTAGGCCTTTTCGGTTGGTAGGACATTTACTCGTCCTTCTAGGCAACCTTGGCCCGAAGTTCAAAGTAGGACTCGCACCTGGTTGTATCCGTCCCAAGCTCCCGTGCTTGAACCTTGTCTGTTGTATGACATTCCCGAAAGGTCTCCTGTAAATACTTGTGATACGGTTTTGGGAAGTATAACACTCCTCTGGTGTGTGTTTTGGAGTTCCACAGCGAGAGATGACCCAAAGGTCTGTGCTGGATGTTTATGAGAGACGGAGATTTCGATATTCGGGGGGGTTAGGCGAAGGGCCATTTTGTAGTCGTTAAATCGGGAAGATGAGGGCTATATCAATCAAAATTGGATAAGGACAACAATATCTTTTTAGATAACTTGAGATAAGTTGTATTCGTAAGACGAGATCACTAGAGTGATAGAGTGTCTTGTATTTCTTTTCTGTGTGTTCCGTTTTTTTTGATGTTATGATTATTGTAGATGATTCATACCACAGTGTCTAGCACTGGTAGTGGGTGTGTTTTCGATAGCTAGTAATGATACTTGATATCATGATTCCTGACAGGTCTCCATACGATCGAGCGGTATATGATCGTCGTATGTAAGTTGATATCGTGAAATCGTCGAGTGGGTGACCCCACTCAACCCCTAATACTAGACATGGAATTCGAGTCAGGATGGAATTATTTGTTTCAAGACTTTAGTATTTTTAATTTTAATTAACCGGATGTATGGACAAGGTCATCACAACTTACAGGTAATGATCCTAAGGTCATATACGAATGTCTTTGGTTTGATTTGTTTGAGAGAGAATATTTTAGCTACTTTTTAGAAGGAAGGTTACTTTAGTAAGCGTACCAAATTCATTACAAACATATAGTACTTAAACGTTTTGTCGTTGGGAACATTACAAAAGTCCTAACATGGTTCCCTTGCTGCTCCTGTTGGTGTGTTCATCACACTCCTCCTGTCCCTTCGTCATTCCTCTCAGTTGGACATTCTCTCTTGAAGTGTCCCGTTTCACTGCATAGGTAGCTGATATGTGCATAATTAGTTAATTATTTAGCATATATTCTTAATCATTTTTAATTAATTATGTGAATAATGTGGACAAAAGGTGCTTAAAATGTGTTGAATTTTGTTTTCAGTCCAGAAGATATGCTTGGAAGTAAAAGGGAGCAAGGGGAAGCAATTGAAGACCAAAGAGTTAAAATAAGAGACAAAAGACCACCTACTCGGCGAGTAGACGACTGTACTCAGCGAGTACACGAGGATGTTCTAGAAGATAGCTACGATTCCTGATTCAAGACAGATAACTATGCACCTACTCGGCGAGTTGGTCCTGCTACTCGCCGAGTACACCCTGTTTTGGGATATCTATAAAAACCGAATCTTTATCCAATGGGATGACATTCCTGGCGATTTTTGAAGGTCAAGCTGCGACTAAAAGTGCTAGAAGACGCTGAGGAACCCTAAGCTTCAATCTTTTGAAGAATTCAAGCAATTAGGTTAATCCTACCACTTAGATTTAGGAATTGAATATGTTTGATTTAGTAAACCTTGTTTTTATGTTTGTTTCTACTGCAACTATGAACTAAATTCGTTTTTGTTTCTGTTTGGGGAATACCAAGGAACTCCTATGGTTTAATTATTAATTTTTGTTTGATTGTTCATTGGTGATTTATTAAATTAAGTTTGTTAAAGAACCTTATGCATTAATCACTACTATTTTTTGTTAATTAGAGACAATTAGGTTGCATGAACATCTCTTAGTTGTTAACCTTATATGTCTATGTGAACACTAAACCATATGCTTAGAAGTAATGATTATGAAACTAAGATTAATAAGACAATAGGAAGATTAATGTGTGAGCTTGTTTGAGAAACCATCAAACAAGAGGTTAATTGAATTAATAACTTAATTGACCATTACAAATCTTATTTAATCCAAATCATTAATCTAGGGAATTAATTAGTTTAAACACTTGATCACCGCTTAAATTAGTTAATTGTCTAAGGGTTAGGAGTAATGAACATGAACCTAACCATTATAATTGGTAACCAATAGCAATTAATCTATCATAAATACAAATAACCATAGGAGTGAATTGGTTGAACCTAAATAGAAACATCTTTATCAAATTTGGTGAATAGTTGTTGCTTTAGTTATTTAGTTAATTTAGTGTGCCTAAGTTTCTAGTCTTGCAAAACTAGAAGAAACCCCTTTTACTTTTATTAGTTGTTTTAGTTAAAATTAGTTATTAGTTTAATTTTCCGTTCCCTGAGTTCGACACCTTACTTACTAATCTATACCACTAAAAGACAGGTTCACTGCCTGTGTGTGTTAAATTTATTAATTAAAAGTAGGGATAAAACAAGTGCATTTCACACACATCAAGTTTATGGTGCCGTTGCCGGGGTACGGTTCTAAATAATTAATCTAATTCCTAATTTTTTATCGTTTGTGTCAGTTTACTTGCATAGAGTTCATTTATTGCAATTTAGTAATTAGTAATTAGGTTTTAGCATCTGTTTTAGTTTTAGTATTAAATTTAGAATTTTTTCAAAATATCACTGATACTCGCCGAGTGCAATCGCACCTACTCGGCGAGTAGCAGTTGATTTAGCAGTAAATTTTAGTTTTTTTTAGTACATTTTTTTGTTCTTTTTACACTTTTATTTTATTTATTTCAGGACTTTCATGACCAGAGGATCAAACACACCACTGGTATCCCCGTTTGAAGATCCCGAATCCGCATTGAAAAGGAACAAAGGAAAGGACGTGGAGAGCTCAAGTACACCAAAGAAGTCACCTTTGTCCAACTTCAAGACCGTTTTTGGGAAGAAGAAGAGCAGTAAATCAGGAGCATCTAGCACCTCTTTGATAATTGAGGAACCAATTCAAGAAGATATTGGGTACGAGACCAAGGAAGAAGAGGAGGCAACGTACGAGCACGAAACCGAGTCCGAGGAAGAGTTAGAGGGTGATTGTTTTTTCTCTGCAGGTCTGCGTGACCTCTTCTGTCTGCGAGGCACAGACCACGCGCAGACATAATGGTTTACAGTCTGTTTGTTTTTCTGAAGTGCGCAGACATAAAAACGTCTGCGTGAGGTCTTCACCACACAGATATGGGATAGCATCTTCTAAAGTCTGCAAGCCCTTTAACCTATTAAAAACGCATCTTTTTTTTTTGCTTCCGCCTCCAGTCCTCGTCCAACCCTCCCAGAAAAAACCCTCGATCGATCGATCGTACTCCACCTTGCAGCGACCACCACCATCGCAACCCTCCTCTCCGATCAAAACCATCGATCGCCGCCTTCCTCTCCGATCCGGCGTCCTCCGATTTTCCGACCATCACAGTCGATTGCAGCAGCCGGCGAACAACAAGGTCATAGCGACAACTTCAACTAGCGACCAAGCGGCGACTCCTCCTCTGCTCGCCGCCGTTAACCAGCGCCTCCCCTGTGAAGCCACCGGCCGGAGACCGTCGCCCCCACAGCTACACTGGAGACTTCGACCTCACAGCTACAGGTTCGTTTTTTTTTTCCTGCTGTCAGTCTTCCTTCTTCTCCCGACTTTCTGTTATTCCCTTCTTATCCGTTGCATTGAAGCTATAGTTCAGAATTTATATTAATTGATGCATAACTCATAAAAGAGCTGTAAAATAAAAACATTTGTAATGAAAGTAATTTATCTTTGAATGTGAAATTGGATTTGATTTTGAATGAAATAACGAGATGTTAAACCTGTAACATCTCCAGCTTGGTCTGTTTGATCGAAAAAGTCCAATTGTGTATGTGTTTGTGCTTCAATTAGCAATTGAACCTAGATGTTAAACCTGTAACAGTAGCACCCAAATTTTCTGTTTAATTATGTTATTGTCAAGCCTGGGCATGCCTCCTGTTGTTTTGAATGATGTTCTTATATTGCTTATATGATACCTTGAATGTAATTTAGGTTATGTACACCAACAATGTTAAATTTCCACTCACCCGTATTATCAACAATGCTTATAATTAGAATCGATTGTATTACTTAAATATGCAGTAATTCAAAGTTGTATATATATATATATATATATATATATATATATATATATATATATATATATATATATGATTATTGATTGTGTATATTTATATGATAGTGTATATGTATATGATTGTTGATTTTGTATGTATATGATAGAAAGCATCAAAAAGAGACATAAGTTTTGTTTATTTTATAGAAGTAAAGTTTTTGTCGTTAAAGTGAAGTTTATTTGATTTATAAAGTTTTTTAGAAAACTTTGAATTAAAACACTCTAATTGAGGGTATTTATAATTGAATAAAAAGTTTCACATTATTGTGATTGAAAATAAAACAAAATTACAAATTTGTCGTGAAAATAAAAACTTTTTCTTGAAATAATGATGTTACTTGTTCACTGTTTATTGTTATTTGGTTATTAGAGATGGGAGAAAAACAATAATGGACCAATGAACACTTAAAATGCTTATTGGATACTTGTATTGAAGAAGTAGAGAGTGTTGGTAGAAAAGGATTGAGTTTGCAGAAAGATTCATGGATAAGGCTAGGAAGAGTTCTTAAGGAGAAATTTGGGGTTGAGTTGACTCAAAAACAAATGAAAAACGCATATGACAATCTGAAAGCCAAATACACTGGATGGGTATATTTAAGCCAAATACACTGGATGCAATGGATGATGATGGTGTTGACACTTCTCATCATGAGCCACCACCTTCTGCTGCTTCACCTTCTGCAGCTTCACCTTCTGCTGCTTCACCTTCTGCTGGTTCACCAGATACTGCTACACCATCCGGTAACCCCAACAAAAGGTCTAAACCCTCAACTCCTGTAGCTCCTAGTGCCTCACCATCTGCTTCTTCACCTGATGGAACTTCTGTTACTGCTGACGATTTAGCATTTGAAATGAAAAAAGCTCTACAAAGTTTGACTAAAGGGTATACAATTCCTCAGTGTTTAGAGAAGTTAGAGGTCCTTCGGTTAGGCCCTACAGATCCTTTACGCTTTGTCGCATATCATATTTTTGGAGGAACCATGAACATGAGAGAGATGTGGATGCATTTGCCTAATGTTCCCGAGATATTACGAGGGTGGCTTGAGATGACGGGTACCAGTTTAGGAGTTTTGAAGGATGGGAAGATTGTTCGATGATTTTCTAGTGTTGAAAGTATTTGTTATGTCTTTTTGCCCTTGTTGGAACTACTTTGTTAAATGTTTTTGCCTTTGTTGGAACTATTTTGTTAGGACTTTTTGCCGTTGTTGGAACTACTTTGTTAAATGTTTTTGCCTTTGTTGGAACTATTTTGTTAGGTCTTTTTTCCCTTGTTGGTACTTGAAATATGATTAATGGAATGTTTATTTGATACTTGAAATATGGTTTATGTAATGTTATTTTGGCTTGAAATATGATAAATGGAATGTTTATTTGATACTTGAAATATGGTTTATGTAATGTTTTTTAAAGTTCTACTTTGTTGATTTTAGGTTCATATGGATCACGATCAAAAGTTACTTCTCGTAATTCTAATGTACCTATACATTCGTTATTTTTGGAAGAGGGGTGTGAAACGATTGCGGGATAATGATTCGGAAATGACGGGACACGAATACACATTGGAGTTATTACACCGTAATCATTTACAATGTGTTGAAGTATTATGCATGTCCCGTGAATCTTTTGTACGACTATGTGCTCATTTTAGAGCAAATTACTCATTAAAGGACAGCAAACATGTATCAGTTGAGGAAAAGATGGCTATGTTTTTGATGATGATCGGACATAATCAACGTTACGTGATTATCAAGCGGAGATTTCAACACTCGAAGCAAACAATTCATAAATTTTTTTATGAAGTGTTGGAAAAAATGATGCTTTTCGCACAAGATGTTATAGTACCAACATCTTTTAATCCGAATCCAAACATTCCAGGACATAATAGGAGGCTACGAAGGGTTTTCAAAGGAGCAGTTGGTGCACTTGATGGCACTTTGATACATGCTGTTGTCCCTGCTAAGAAACAAGACTTATATAGAAGTAGGGGAAAGGGAGATTGCTACCAAAACGTATTGGCAATATGTGACTTCAATATGATTTTTACATTTGTTGTGACCGGGTGGGAAGGGGTAGCGCATGACTCTAGAATATTATCAGAAGCAGTAGCCGATCCACAGGCATCATTCCCGTTTCCACCACCAGGTAATTTTTTGTTTTTTTTTAATATTTTCATTTTAATTTGAAAATTGATTAGTGTTTTGCATTTTTTTCAGACAAATATTATCTTTGTGATGCCGCGTATGCACACACTAGAGGATTTATGGCCCCTTATCGTAATGTGAGGTATTGGCTTGGAGATTTTCGTCAAAGACGTGTATTGACCAATAAAGAAAAATTTAACCATGGACATGCAAAACTTCGAAATGTCATTGAGCGTGCTTTTGGTGTTTTGAAAGCACGCTTCCCTATATTGAAGAGGATGGCACCATTCCCATTTGTGACACGAAGAAACATTGCCATGGCATGCTTCGTGCTTCATAATTATATAAGGAAAGAAGGATTGAGTGATGAGTATTTCGCACGATACGATGAACCCAATGTCCCGTTTCGAAATAACAATGTGGCCATTGATGATGATGAAGACGGGATTCCAACACATGGTACTGCAGCAGACTGTGAATATATGACTCAGTTACATGATGAAATTGCTGATCAGTTGATGCACAATATGGATTGAATTGTTTTAAATGAAATCGTTATTGTAAAACATTTTTTTTTATTGTATGACTAATTTAGTTGCATGAATTTTATTTTCAATGTTATAAGACTATTATTATTAAAATTTTGGTGTTGAAAAATCATTTTAAGTTTGTAAAATAATTTTATTTAAAATTCAGTTTATTTCAGCAGCCTGCAGACGTTAAAAAACAAATAGTCTTCTTATTGCAGACTGCAGACGTTTGGTCCACCTCTTCTGCTGCAGAGGCTTGCAGATGTGGTCCGCAGACTGCAGACATTTTGGCTTCAGAAAAACAAACAGCACCTTAGCTTTCACAATGGCTAACATTGATGAAATCCCCATGGGAGAATGGAAGAAGAGGATGTGCGATTACAATGGCCCGAGACTTGTGCAACCCGCAATTCCCGCGACTGCCACCTTCGAGCTAAAGGGTCATATCCTAGCTTCACTCAAAGAAATACCTTTTTATGGGAAAGATCATGAAGATGCCTACAATAATTTGGATGAAGTCAATGATGTAGCTGATTACTTCAATATTCCAAATGTAACCCGCGAGACTTAACTACTTCGTATGCTTCCGGTAACATTTAATGGTGCTGCTAAAGACTGGCTCAAGTCACTTCCCCCCGGATCAGTCACTACTTGGGCCAAGATGAAGGAAGAATTCATTGATCACTTTTGCCCACCTTCTAAGATAGCCAAGCTGAAGAAGGCCATTGCAAACCTTGAACAACAAGCTGGAGAGTCGCTATATGAAGCATGGGAGAGGTACAAGAGTCTGCTAAGAAATTGCCCACACCATGATCTAAACAGCCAGCAAAAAGTCTCCATCTTCTATGATGGAGTCAATGTCACAACCAGGCAGTTGCTAGACTTGCAAGGCCCACTTACAAAGAAGCCGCCCCCGGTGATTAAAGAATTGATTGAAGAATTCTCTAAACACTCTAGAGAATACCATAACCCTAGACATGATGTCACTAGGGGAGCCGCTTATGCTGCTACTGAAGACTTATCTGCGGTCATGGCTATGCTAAAAACCATGGATATGAGAATGGATAAAATGGATCAAATGATCCATGCTATTCGGGTGGGTTGTGAAAACTGCAATGGGCCTCACCTCACTAGAGACTGTGATTTGGATGAGAATGGCAACAAGAAGGCGCAAGCGTGTTACTCGAGTGGAGACCGATATGATGAAGATTGGCGCAAACAAAAGAAAGAGTGGCTTCCTTACGAAGAATACAAGAAAGCCAAGGAGGAGAAGTATAGACAAAAAGGGAGAGGATTCTACCAAAAGGAGGAGCCGGTGCAAGAAAGGAAGCCAAGCTTGGAAGATATGCTCACTAAATTTGTAGCTGCTTCAGAAAAAAGGCATAGTGATCATGATGCTGCTATTCAAGAAACAAGAACCATGCTCAGGAACTAGCAAGCATCTATCCACAATATAGAAACACAGCTTGGGCAACTTGCTCAACAACTTAACCAAAGGTGAACGGGTAAACTTCCTAGCAAAACCGAAAATAACCCACGAGGCGTGCACATAAACATTGTCACAACAAGAAGTGGGAAGATAATCACTCCCCTAGCACCCATTCGGACTGAAGCACCCAAGGACTCACAGAAGGAAGAAGCAGAAAAACCAGCAGAAAACCAAAAGTTACAATCTGAGAGTCCTACTCGCCGAGTATGGCCGATGGACTCGGCGAGTACACCATCAAAAACATGTGAACAATTCCCTGAAAAGCCTTACCAGCCTCGAATGCCATACCCAACCCGAGCCAAGAAAGAGAAGCAGGAAGAGGAATATCAGATGTTTCTAGACCACATTAAGACTCTTCAAATCAACATACCGTTCATTGAAGTCGTCATGCAAATGCCCAAGTATGCAAAGTTCCTTAAGGAACTCCTCACCAATAGAAGAAAGATGGAAGAAGTGAAGAAGGTAGTGCTTAATAAGAACTGCTCCGCTGCAATGCTAAATAAGCTACCAAAGAAGAAGAGTGATCCGGGGAGCTTGACTTTACCTTACCAATTTGGCAACTTGGCTGCAATTCATGCCTTAGCTGATTCTGGAGCAAGTGTGAATCTTATGCCATACTCATTCTTTAAGAAGCTAGACCTCTTGGAGCCATGGCCAATTCGCATGGCAATACATTTGGCAAAGAAGACAGTCACCTTCTCAAGAGGCATATGCGAAGATTTGCTAGTGAAAGTGGATAAATTTGTCTTTCCTGCTGATTTCATCATTCTAGACATGGAGGCGGATCCACAAGTACCAATCATCCTTGGAAGGCCCTTCCTCAACACAGCTAGCACTATAGTAGACATGAGAGACTCAAAGCTCACCTTGCGGGTCGGGGACGATTCAGTAACATTCGGGGTGGACCAAGCTATGAAGCATTCTAGGAGCAGTGACGACACAACATTCTCAATCGACATGCTTGATGAACTATTGTAGGAAGACGTACCTGAAGATTCCAGCAAGTTTGCAGCTTTAGATGAAGCATTTGATCCAGAAAAGGATTTACTAGAAATTGAAAGACTATTGGAAGAAGCGGAGTATGAAGAACTAACGAAGCAATCTGACAGCCCTACTCGCCGAGTAGGGCCGATCTAGTCGTCGAGTATATCGGAAGAAAAGTCAGAATTCGTGAATGCAGCCACAAACTCGCCGAGTACCCTACCTGCACTCGGCGAGTCCGTCACTAAGAACCAACAAACAGAGCTCAAAACGTTACCAGACCACTTGGAGTATGCTTTTCTGGAAGAAGGCAATCAAAAGCCTGTAATCATAGCCTCTGATCTGTCTAAGTCGGAAAAGGAGGAGCTAGTGCAAGTGTTGAAGAAGCGGAAAAGGGCCATAGCATGGAGCATCGCCGACATCAAAGGAATAAGCCCATCCTATTGCTCTCACAAGATCAATCTAGAAGAAGGAGCAAAGCCGGTGGTACAACACCAAAGAAGGTTGAACCCGAACATGCGAGAAGTAGTCAAGAAAAAAGTGGTCAAACTCTTAGATGCAGGAATCATTTACTCCATTTCTGATAGCCCATGGGTGAGTCCGGTCCAAGTGGTGCCCAAGAAAGGAGAGATGACGGTCATAACCAACGAAAAGAACGAGTTAATCCCACCAAACACATAATATGTTGTCATCGCATGACCTGCCTCTCATCTAGCAGCACTAGCAGTGTCAGCAGTCTCCATCGAATGCTGATACAGGATTTCCATTCCTGCCAAGACTTCATCCAAAACTTCTCGATGCCCAGCTATCACAGCGAGACTGTGACGTAGGCCCGCTGCTATCGACTGCAATCTCCGGGACTCCTCCGGGGTCATACCTGGCTGTCTGACAGGTATCCCTATGACTTGCTGAGGTGAGGGTGCTCTCGGTCCTGCATCGCTGGGTTCTGCTCCGCT